CTTATTTATTGTTGCCACCGAGTTAGCGCTACATCGCGGGCACTCGGCAACCGTGCTCCTGCGTCCATGTTAGAGGGAAACAAAATAGCTCGAAAGGTTCCGTCGTAGCAGGCGACCTCCGCGATGTAATGCTAACATTGAGTAGTCTTCTTTAGCATTTGGCTTCAATTGCATGGCGGAAGGACATGAACGAGGCCAAGCCTTTCAGATCCCTCTTTTCCTTTGTTATCTCATTGACAAATTGCATCAAGAAAAGAACAAGGGAATTCTAAATGAAAAGCTCAGATCTCCACTGCGAATCCTTGCTTCAAAATTGAAGAAGTTTGGATGACACCAGCAAAAAACCTCCATACATCTTGATTGTGTTTTCACAATTTGTTTTCATGTTGTTGCTTATGCGAGTATTTTGACGGCGGTTTTCTTCTGGCATCCTGGAGAACAGGGATGCCGTTTTTCATTCAGCGGCCTCTTCGGTACTCTACCAATATTGTTACTTTTGTGTACAAGTTTCCCGTAGTGGGTTCATTTCACTGCGAGTAAGCTTTGTAAGTTCTCCAATCATAGCTCCGTCAAAGTTTTTGGTCCAGGTCTGACTTATTGAAATGAGGTGAGAATTTTGACCTTCCATCATCGATTCTTTCCCGATCTTTCATGTTGTTCCGTGGATGTATATTTCCAATGTAATTCTCAAAGGCTAGAGCATGACCGCTATTTCATGTTACGCATCTCGCAACATATAAAAAGTACAAGAACATGGATGTGAGAGCATGGTTCATGTAACCATGCTACCATGATGTAATACTAACAAGCTTGCAACAATAGTTAGATGAATAGGGTGTGAACCACACCTTATTCATCTACCTATTACTCAATCATTGAGTAAATATTATAAATCTATGATGTAGTGAAGTGAGTGATAATTAATCCAAAACAAATAATAATTAGTCGTTATATTTTTTAATATATAAATTTGATCTATTGTATAGTATATATTAACACTTACTAAACTATATGTATTCACATAAAACTTACATTATCGTAACATCTTACTACGTTCTACATTAAAAATCGGTTAAAAAAAGTGATGAATTCTTCATCGTACCTTTAGATGTGAAATATTCTTGATTCTACCCTAAGTCTTAAGTCTGCAAAAGTATATGCTCACTCCTAACAGGCGAACAAAATCTGATAGGCTAGCGGGTTTGTACGGGTAAAAGTGGAGAGTTCCCACTATACGTCAACCTACTTCCTTCTAATCGGAATAGAACATGGGCGCCATGTCGTCCCTCAATCTCAGGTACAGTTCCATGACCCTCGCCATCAATAGGGATGAGCAAGTAAAATAATGATGCATTTGCCTTTAATTGCCGACATACTTTTGGGTTTGGCTTTCAATACTTTTCAACTTCTCCTCGTGTGTCCTAAGATGACGAACATTGGGCCTCACGCAATCGTTATCCTCACCATGCAAGAAAAAAGACCTATGACTGCGCGTCATTATGAGTAGGAGATGCTGGGAGCATAGCGTGTTCACCTCAAGCGCCTTGCGAATGGAGAGTGACTTCCGTTGGACGGAGTGAACTGAGGAACTGTGTTCTATAAAGTTTGAGGGCTAACAGAGTAGGAAAACTTGTAGCCTCCCGGACTACCATGCTTCTTCAACTATCTACTTTGTCCTTCAGTAATAGTGATCATCTCTAATTGTAAAAGCTTACCGCAAACATGGAAACATGTAAATTGCTGAGAGAAGGTAGTTTGCTTGCACACCTGAATCTCAACAAACAATAACACTGGTAGAGTAGATCTCATCTTGCTCTTAGTTATCTTCCAGGCAACCTCTACAACTTTGAGAAGAACTTTGAGACTGCAATTGAACTAAGTCATAGGGTCACACGCTCGGCAGTCAATCACAGCATTATAACAATTGTATATATAAAAATGATATCTCACTTCAAAATGTTATATATATACATGTCTAAATTGAGGCAATTTATGATCCATCCATAGTATGTCTTTCTAGAACAAATCCAATTATTTGTGGTTTCTGATCTTCAAACTTAAGTTTAAATAACTGAATTCATTGAGATGAAAAGAAACGGACTTATCAAAGGTCTAACCTAACTCTTTTATTCAATATGATTCACAAGTCTGACAGTTCGGCTTTAGGGTCAGTCAGCTCAAATGAGGTGATTGACCAATTTATTGGTATCAACGAATCGAGAGGATGTGATTTCTATTTCTATGGTCAAGGAGCATCGTTTGTTATCTAGGCTCAGTGATATCAAAGAAGTCAACCTCACAACTAGTGTGCCCAATGCTTCATAATAACATGAGGTCATTTTCTGGTTAATCTTTTGAGTATAATTTCTTACAAGAATTTAGCTCAATGTCTCTTTCTAGGCCTTATATCTAATTTGAATTTTCAACCTATTGATGGATAAATTCAAGATTTGTGTAATAATGTATCAATCCCAAGTATCTTTGGATTTTCAATCTATATTTTTTCTCTTTAAAAACTTGAAAACCAATGTCTTTCCACTAATTAATAAATAGCTCTGAAAAAAATTTTAAATTTAATTTAGCTCTTTATTTGAATATTTTCATGATAAAAACTCTACTCTGACAAGACTGTAGGCTCCTAGCCTAAGAATGTGGTACTCGATATATTTTTTGCACCAATGACTTCTTTCTACAACAATGAAGTTACATCTTGACTTGGTCAATCTAACTATATGTTTATTAGTCACGTAAGAATGCAAGATTAATTAAATGCAATACATAGTCATATTTCGTGAAGCCCATTTGTATGATAGGGAATTGCTGTTTTTATGGTGTGTGAAAGATGAATTCTCTTTGATCTTAGCTAACAAAGGTTATGACAGATTACAATTACTTTGGAATAATCATATCATTATAGCATAACCACGTGCTTATCTTACTATAAGTGAAAAAGTTTCAGATTATGATTGTGCGTTTTCTTGAACAAAGCAACAATCAACATAGTTTTCAAGTATAAGATTATGAACAAAGCTTTTGTTTGTAACACTGGCCTAAAAATTATTTAGAACTCTCGACGTGGACTTTGATATGAGAAAACATCTGCTTTATTATTCGTCTCATATGAACGTAATTTTAATTTTAAAATAGTCTTTCTATGAAACCTAGACAGTCTGGAGATATTAAATGAGATATGCTATATTTATCATTATGATGATATTGGAACTAGGCCATGTTAACTTCTTACTTGGACAAATTTACGTTTTGATGAGTGTCATTACAAACATTAACAAGTAAGTAGAAAATAATTTTATTAATATCTAAAAAAACTATTTGTAGGCTAATATTGATTTAATTATTGATATAATCGATTATTTACATAACAGGGAACACATAACTTTGACTATCAAGCCTATACGATTTAAAAAGTACCTAGCATAGTCTAAGCATTTCTCTAATAAGTATGTACAATCAGAGAGGAAAACGAGTCACATATACTTTGCTATACAGAGTTAAACCTCCCAATAGTGTCACCTTTTTTGAGTGACAACCTCCCATTAGTGACATGAAAGTGTAGAACCATTATTTTCTATCGTATAAATTTGTTCAATAAGAACTGTACGTCACTATTGACAATAGTGACATGAGAAGATTCAACAGTGACATGGTGGAGCTTTAATGACTATCATAATTATCGAAAGTATCCGTTCATAACTTCCGAATTTAGAATTCAATTTTTATTCTATGCTTCCAGTGAGGTTGAATCATGATTGTAACTATATTATGAGAATATTGAATGCATCAAATGTTAACTGTTCTTGTTATCATCTGCTACTTTTCTTTGACAGACGTCAAATATATGTCTAACAAGACAGGTCCCAAAAATACGTTGATGTTCTGATTTTATCCTCGGAGCATAAGTTAAGGAAGTGTGCTCTGAATTTCGCGGTGAAATTTCTTATCGAAATTGATATCATTTTGGACATCATTTGTACAAAGGTTGTTCAAGGGTGGCGTTAGTGCTCAATGTGATCCACTTTGCATTGAGATATTCCGAGTCATATAAGGTACAAATTGAAAAATTCAATTTCGATTAGAATCTTGGGCTCTTCAACCAGCTCAAATTTCTAAGTCAAGGGAAAAATGGACAATTTTAATTTTGACAATTGATATTCATGTTGATTATAACCACAATTGTAATCTAGAGAGTTTTGCAAAATTTACCAAGCAAAATTGGTTCCTAATATTTCTTAAACGAGAAAAATTGCTTCTCGATTGAGCCATGTAATTCTTTGAGTAGTAAATTTTTTCTATATACAGTAGAGTACAGAAATCTTATATAGTAGAAATTGTTGATATACAGGCAAATACAGAAATTTTATGTGTTGGAAATCTTTTCATCGTGAACATCAAATAACTGTAATTTCACTTATCATTGTTGATGTAAGTTCAAATTCGAACCGCCAAATAATCTGCTAAATATTTAGTGGATCCGCTAAACATACAATAAGAATGTCTCCACATGATACACTAAATATTATCCAACCTTGCGAGTGACACCTCCCAATAGTGACATAAAACTAAAGAACCTATGTATGTCACTATTGGGAAGTTTAACTCTGTATTACCCGTGCCGACATTCAAGTTCCCACAAAAAATAACCTGTCTGACCGGCTATTTACCAGGATTGCTAAATAATTTGGAAGATTTGGTTCCAGGCAATGCTCCAAAGAAAACTTTATTCTGGCTGTTATATCTAGTAAAGACAAGAGAAACAAAATGACAGGGATATCTTTTACATTCTTGCTTCAAACTTAGATCCGCGGAGATCCACATTTAAGTCAGTTATCGATTTGATTACCTTGACAGGTATGTCCTGTCAGGCATGTCCCTGACAGGGTATTGCTTTTTGCAAGCTCCCCGGAAGAGAAGAGACTAGAGTCCCTAGATTCACCTAATCACACCCCAATATCGTTATATACCTTCGTACTCTAACCCTCCAACCCTCTGAAGGGGGTTTCCAGCCAGTGGGTCCTCGTGATGAAGTGGATACGTCCTTGTCTTATGCCCAGCATCAATTCAACAGGATTCAGAGTCGCCCTCTCCAGCAAGATATAAACCCTAGGATTGTTGCTGCATGTTGTAAACCGCTCACGTAGGATGAATCTGGTCGGTGGTACACTCGTGTATCGTAGTTACAAGAGTCACACTTGATTAGTGTTGATAGAAACTTAGACCTTGGGAGACTTGACTGGCAGTTGTCTATACAAGGATCCTCATTCTTGTGCAGCTTGCCCATCACTATCGAGTCTTTAAATTCCAGTATCTCCTGAAGAAGGGATCACAAGTCGAATGACGGCTGCGACCAAGTTCTATCCTTGTCTTATGCTCTATCATTCACACAATCATCAGATACTGCTGGTTATATATGTCACTGGGTATGCCTGCTACAGACGTAAACAGGTTTGCTCTAATTTTGAGTTTCTTGTGAGTGAACAAAGTTGCACGATGACTTATCGTGTCGATCTTCGACTTTCAATGTATCCAATCGTTACCTTCTTATTAATCTCAAGTGCCGTCCCGGGATCAATCGTTGCCCAAAGCTCTAAGATGAGCTTCACAAATGGTTCGCACTAAGCTTGCCGGTACTTGCAATGAGAATGAATGATAGCAGGTTCTTATTTCGAATACAGTTGTGGTTTGTTGAGGTGTATACATAGTGAAGAGAATAAGAGATTACACTTCCAATCTGCTCAATGTTCACCTTGAACTTGACTTTACTTCACATAGGTGCACGACAGCAACGGTGAATATAATTTGCTGCACACTGGTGATCAACTAGAATTCAGAAAGGATGTTGCATCCCAGATATGCTCGTGTGAATGTATGCAGTGTATGAGCCACACTTAATCACAGTCAGCTAACAGTCCAGTTTGATTATGCAGAAGGAAGGCAAGCACGTGTGCATCGATATCAGTCTGCTGTACAAGATGGGACGCTTTTGCAACGAGTGCATCCCTCCAGGGAACAAACTGCAGCGAGAATCTGGTCTGAAGGCGCAAGACGCGTACTCCGGGACATTTCCCCGCCTGGTATGTGGCCTGTGACTGATGAGCCGCCCGAGCTTGCTCATAGACGGGCTTTGCTTACAGCGGCAAATTGCAATCACCGAATGCTTATCGACGTCACAGAACCATCTTCTCCTTCAGGGCGATATCTACTCCGTGAAATGTCTCCTTCCCGAATGCGGCGCCGGACTGATTCACCTCCTGAGTTTGCTCGTAGACGGGATCTGCTATTTGCAGGTAATAGTCAGAGGCCGAAGTTAACGCGGAAGATTGTCAGAAAATCGTATTCTTCTAGACGAACGCTACTTCGTGATATCTCACCTCCAGGAATGTGGCCAGTTCCTGATCCTCCACCGGAGATCCAGGAATTGAGAAGGAGAAGAGGTCTCTTACAATTCTCTGTCCTCGGTCCCGGTCCAAAAGTTCTCGTTCAAAGGACAGTGAATGGTGTCAATGACGATCCGGCTCATCAAGGAGATCTCCTTAACACTTGGGAGTTGTGGCGCCATAAACTTCAATGACGTGCAACATTTCCGTTGCATATGTCATAGACTGTAAGTAATCCTAGAAGTACTCTTGTTTGTCACTCAGGACGTATTGAGCCCAGGCTGACTCGAACCACCAGCTGATCACCTACTTTCAGTACTCTGCAGGAACAAACTGACATTCTCTGTCAGCGTGTGCAAGAAGATTCGTTGCATACGCTATACTGTAAAGCTATTTCTGCGAGGATCAGGAACTGCGGCTAGATGCGGAGGGGTGATGACTGGTAGAATATCGTCATTGAACGATTATTGGATCCAGGTTTTCGGGCCTCTGGAAGGCAAAATTGGACCTGTTTCTAAATTATTGTACAGGCTGCAATGGAACTCAAGGGTGTCAAATCCTTGGATGTAATAGCAGGGACAAACCATTTCAATATCCCTGACTGATGGTACAGAAATAGACATATTGACCTTAGTGCCATCTTTTGTAGAACCTTCATCTACTTATCGGTGCAAACGCCACAACAAATAAGACATTGATAGAGTATCATACAGAGCAAAGGCCGTTACAGGCCGTCCTGAGTGCCAACTAATCGCTTTGGGATAATCCCCATACCAATCCTATTATACATACCAGGAGTCCCTGGTTACAAAACCTCGACAAGTATCCGTGTTTTTCAGGATCACGTAAAGCGATTTATGGTACATACAGCTTACAACTAGAGCTTCATTCCCACTGAAGTTATTTACTGGGTTTTACATATGTTCACTCTTCAATGACTGTATTATATTATGACATGCATCAACTACCGTAAAATATTATTGTGAAACTGACTATGTCAAGATTTTCTGAGGTTCACTAAAGTGCGTCCTGGTACTTTACGAATTGTGATTCTCATTTATTTTGCACTTAGATTCTTATATCTTTATCTTTCCACTAAATACCAGCTTTTTACGTGAGCGTCTTCTTTCACTGCAGCAGGTTTGAATACTTTATATACCATGCAGACGTAAAGCCTCGAATAACAAGTAGAAGGAGCTGAAGTTGTATCCACAAGAAGAATCTAATAAAGAGCTAATGAAATGTCCAAGTAGTCTAAGAAGATAGTACATGATCTTCTTCTTATTATGTTGTGCATGTTTCATATTGTACTGATATTTATCATTCCCTAAAGAGGAAGCAAATAAGAAGCAAAAGGAGACTCCTACTAGTGAACTTGATGAATGTACTGGCGAAATCTGTATAGCACATCATGCTTTGTCTAATACGTAGAGCTGATAATCCATTTTCATACAATTAAAGCTTTCTTCGTATTTATGACGTCATCTGCACAGTGCGTGCTCGGTGACGTGAGTCTTGATATACCAAATAGGCCAGACCCAGGGACTGTAGGTGGCATGGGAGTATGCTACTCCACGACTCATTTGCTATTTGAGTTCTTACAACCACTTTTGGCTAGATCAACCCCGACCGTATACTTCGCGGGTTGACGGTATACGTACACCGTTCGTGGGTCACCGTCACTAGGGTTTTCGAGGGAGCCCGGAGAAAATGTTCGTCTCGCATTTCTTGGAATGCACTTTGCGATGGCGGATCAGCCTAAACCCATACGGTGTGCGAGCCAAGAGCCTTCGTGCCGGGCTCATAGTCTTGGATCTTCAGCTTTTCTTCAGTCCAAGCTTTGAGTCTACATGGATTATGCTATCCCAATGTCTGAATTTATCCGAACGCTCCGTCAGTGGAGCATCATCCCATCAAAACTAACAAGAATCACAGAATTCTGGAAAGAAAGGAATAGCTACGACCCCAAAATAAACGTGTTCTCCCGTGACTTCACGGCAGGCTTGGTAGGTACATGCGGGAGTTATTGTCGGGGCCATGGAAATTTACCAGAAGCTGGCAGGATGAATTTTAGTCCTGTAAAGCTGAAACATTTCGAGCACAATGTCAGCTACGGAGCTGTAGGCAGCTAGTCCCTGAACACGATCTAATCGCGTTTATGAACAGGATGAGTCGATTTCTAGACGTGATTGCATAATACTCGTGCATGTCTAGGTCTCCATCACAGGGATGGTGCTTATTTTCCTCATTATTCAGTGGAATCCTTATCAGAAGTGACTGCCGTGTCTGAGGAATGACCCCCCTACCTGGGTGCATGAATTCTAATCTTGTGAACCCTAAACCCTCTAATCGACAAAGCAGCTACGGAGCAGCCAGCGCTTTACCGCTGAGAATCGAAGTTCATGTTGAACAAATGCATCGAACGGCTTCTAGAGGGTGCGAGCTCGACGGGTGAGTACTTCACGCGACGGTGACAAAGGAGAGACCGTCACGACGGTGACCGTATGCCGTCAGCCCACAGGCATACGGTCGGGGTTGATCTAGCCTGCAGTCTTACAACCCTAGAACAACCCCGACCGTTTGGCATCCGACGGCTTCTAGAGTGTGCGCGATCGGCGGGTGAGTTCTTCACGGTCAGATGGGCATACGGTCGGGGTTGATTTAGCCAAAAGTCTTACAACGTGACGACTGTAACGAACATAGGAACATTTACGAGCTGTGTGTGTTGCCTATGAAGAAAGATAATCCAAAAGTCAAAGCAACTTACCTTGAGTCACGCCAACGGAGAATTGTCTTGTTGTAATTATTATTAATTAATTAATTATTCCATCAGTCCCACCGTCCCACTTATTCGGTAAATGGCTATGAGTCATAGCCTATGACTGATTATGGTGCGTGCAAGCACTTATTGGGAAGAAGACATGACGTGTGGCATGGCGATTTCAACAATGCTTACATCAATTCATCTTTCTTAGGATGGATCAGATAAACTCAAGAATATCTTCAGCGGTGAGAAAAATCATGAGAGAAACTCGAGCCTATACAAACTATAACCGAAATTATTTCCTAATTTCGAAGAAAAATGCTATTTTTTTCAAGCTATCCCCATTACAGCCTGTAAGTTGCACAAGAGACTGGGTATCTTTACTGCACCTGTCTACTCCAGATAAGTGAGTTGAAGTGCAAACAATATTTAACAACAGCGTTAATCATTGATAGAACCCGGACTCCCTCGGGGAATTTAACAGTCTTTAAAATAGTCATATCAATCTCAACGTAAATATATTTCATTTCATTCTATCTCATATTTTCAGAGTCAACTTTGCTATATTGTGGTTTTTTTGGGTGTATGAAAAATGTGCTGTCATGTTCTTTCGAATGAAATGGTCTAATCTTAATATAATTCATTACTATTATGTATATATAGTTAATTATATTTACACTGTCATCTCTTATTAATGATATATAAAATTCAAGAATTATTAAATTTTAACTTGTAAATTTATTCAATAAGAAATCTATTTTCAATAGTGATATGATACTATTGACAGTTTCAATTGTTATTTTAAGAAAATAATTAAATTTGAATATTTATGGTCATCTTTTATTAATAATATATGAATTTCAAGAATTATTAGATTTTAATTTGTAAATTTATTCAATAAGTAATCTATTGTCAATAGTGATATGATACTATTGACAGTTTCAATTTTTATTTTAAGAAAATAATTAAATTTGTATATTTATTTTCATCTCTTATTAATGATATATAAAATTCGAGAACTACTAAATTTTAACTTGTAAATTTATTCAATAAGAAGTATATTGTCAATAGTGATGTGATACTATTGACAGTTTCAATTTTAATTTAAGAAAATTATTAAATTTGAATATTTATTATTCTTACTTTAGCCCAACTCACAACCTTTGACTTCGCCGTCTGCTCGTCACTAACATGGCATGGAATCACAACACGTAACTTGCCTTGACTCCCCCTCATTGCACTGCGTTCCCTCACACCTTGCTCTAGGAGAAACACGAGAAGGAAACGGAAATGGTAATTATGTAACCTCAATTTATAGAAATTTATTTGTGCACATAATCCCACCATACAACCCGGTACATTTTTATTCGTGTTATGTTACTTTCATTTTGTTGTTTCAATCACTTTACAAGTGAGAAAAGACACAAATCAATTTACTAATTTCCTCAGCTCTGCTTGTTCAGTTTTCACAATTTATAACTTTGATTTACATTAGAGACCTCAGCTCTGCTTGTTCACTTTCCACAATTTATAACTCTCCTTTACTTTGACGACCTAAGGTTACACTTGCTAAAGACAATCTGATATTTGAATTCAAATACAAGTCATCAAGAATGATACTATCCGCCAAATGATCCACTAAATGATTTGCGGTTCCACTAAACGTATAATAAAAATGTTTCTAATAATCCGCTAAATGCTACCCAACTTTCCGAGTGACGTGAAAACTTAACACCAATATGTGTCACTATTGGGAGGTTAAACTATATGTTTGTGTATGTATGTATATATATATTCACACGCACCATTTTATTTTTCTAATCTACGATTTTCTTTTGAGTAAAATGAACTAAGATGACATTGTGCCTTTGCTTGTAATACTAAGCCCGCCATTACATGTTATGTTCAACTGTATCATTCCCAACTCTTGAAGTTCTAAATATGAAGTTAGGAATACCAAGTCTTCCATGAAACTCGGTACCTTTGTGGATCTTTCTCATTGAACGTCTTTAAAAAGTTTTGAAATAATGATATCGTGTGACTTTCTCTTTTCAATACGGAAATAGATCAGAAACCCTCAAATCGAATATCGTCAACTTTATAACCGTTTATTGTTCTGTACTAAAGGAAGACATAATCACCAACTTTCTGCAAGATATTCAGTCTTAGTCGGAGGATGAAATTGACAGCGTACAAACCCTATATTTTGATAGTGCAAGGATGCATGAACATACTGTAAAAAGGCTCGGTTCCGAAATTCAGGATCAGGCAAATAAATATTTAATAAACTTATGCACGCCCGTGCTTCGTAACACGTCGATGATGCAAACTGCTTTATGATGCTTTTCGATGATGCAAACGTCCTCATGCATACGTGCACATGAAATTCACTGGCTGGAGGGGAGGCTATACCACTGGATTTTCCGCAACAATAATTCGTTTTATGTGCCGACACCTACTGCTAGTTTGCAGTAGGATAAACCGATGTGAGCTAGGCAGAGGACTGATAGATGGCTCGTCCCGGACCCCTGATGCTAATGTGCTGTTCCGAGGGTTTGATAAAAAAGAAGACTTTGTCTTCAGCTGGTATATGTGTGAGCCACTCTGCGTAATATGTGGCATTTTGGAAGGCTCGACAAATGATGGCACCATTCGTGCCAATCTAAAGGTGCAATATATCTGAAGAATACGGATCACATAGTATTTGAAGGATTTTGTTGACGCGTTACTCAAAAAATTATGGCCAGACTGTCTGCTAAGGATAAAGCCATTGACATGCTACTGAAATCCTGCAAGCTCCGTCGATATTTTGGGATATGCTGGATGCCATATAGGTCCACGGCAGATTCGAAATCCCATAAATCATTTAGTAATCCGGCACTCGATCTGGAGTTTACTTCAGTTGCACACCTTTTTCGGGACAAAACATTCATGCTTGAACTACATCGTCACACGTAAGCCTCACTAGGCAGTCCAGTCTCCATCTTGAGTTCGGCATCGCCTGTAAGAAATTGGAACAAATCTGAACAAGTCCTGTTCATACTGCGTTTGTGGAACCTCAGGCGACGCCGACAAAACCTATAAACTACGTAGGGTCCAGTAAGCAGTTAAGAGTGAAATCAGCTATGCTTGATGCCCACACACAGA